ATTACAAAATTTGCATAAATTTGCATAAATTACCAAAATTTGCATAAATTTGTATAAAATTCAAATTTCCCGCGCACCTGCATAAATTTGCATCTATGAATAAATTTGCATAAATTTGCATAAATTTGCATAAATTGATCCAGACTACCCTGTTATCTACTCAGATGCTGTACGCTTACATTAACGGCACCAATTGCCAGAATATAGGTCATAAGACCAATGTGCACAAAAATACACACAACTGCTATTCATTAATGCGTTATACAATCTATGAAATATTGCACTTCTTAGCGCTTTTTTACTAGAATCTCTTAGTCTAGCGAAGGACGTCTAACACGCCTGTATACCTTAAAATAGCAGGGAAGCAGCAGCCTCGGCGCCGTGCACCGTGCGTGGCAACGGCCGTTCCTACACCGCCGCCTCTGCCGCCTTGCACTTCCCGACGCGGTATTTCCCTTCCAGTGGCTGGCACTCGAAGCCGCCGTGACAGGGGCACAGGAAGCTGTTGCGCTGCCGCTCCAGGAGAGGGAAGTCTGGCGTGTTGACCTTGCAGACTTGACCCTCCTTGCGCAGGCTCTTGCACACGCGGATGGGCATCTTGACGTTCCACTGCGCGCAGCAGGAGATGTCGTCACCGTCCGCGTGGATGCAATCTGCGTCAGACTGGCAAAACTGGTGGGGGAACAAGTGCGGAAGACGTTTATTTTAGCACTCAGATAGGCTATCCAAGCGTGTTCGGGACGCCCTGATTTCTTACATATATGATATGAACTTTATTCCTCAACAAAAAATCGTTCATGATACAATGTGTGGCAGTAAATCAACAAGACTACGCGGCAATATTCTAGCTACTTGTAGCTACAAAATATCATCGATGACAGTATTTGAGTTACAATACAATACAATACAAATGAGTTACACGAAAACTAGCTTTCGAGTCTTTCCCGTTTCGACTACTGAGTGCTGCGGAAACACTTAATCACGCCTGCATACATTTATACCCTTCTTCGTATCCTTCAGCTAATTACCATGCTGTCTGCCAAGCTTTTAAACATGGATGCTTTTATTCAAAGAATAAAACAATTGAGATGACATGCCTCGTTTCGTTTAGTGACCATTCAACAACCGTTAAAAATGCAAATGTTGAATTAACAGTTGAATAAAATCGAAATCAATTGAAATACCATCTCATATAATGCGAAGAGGTCACCAAGATTAATGTGTGAAACACAAGCAATTCTTTCCGTGCCAATCTGTACAGATATTAATATCCAACAAGGATAGATATCTAACTGGGATGGACGAAAACGTACTCGTTCTACAGGTACGTTCTACCAGAGGAATGAACAAAGATGTAGCTTACCCCAGTGATCGGCATCAGGCCGGATGCAAAGAAGCAGCAGGAGGAGAAGAGTAGGATCTGCAGCAGAGTCATGGTGGTGGTAGATTCTTCTGGTCGGCTGTATCGGCGAAGGAGTGGACGTGGCTTCGCTGGTCGGCTTGCGGTGTAAAACCTGCGCTGGCTCGGGTCCTTTTATCCAAAAATCTCCGCATCGAAAAAAATACATGCTAGCGATTCAAAGCCAAGTAGGCTACTTCACATCACTCACTTGTCGCTCTCCCTTTCCAAAATTTTCTGAGGACCCTCAGAATCTCGCAAACGTGTCAACGTACCTCAAAAAACGGGTATTGAAGTGTGCTTGATCCATAAGAAAATGTCCATAATGTCCATACATTATAGAGGCTTTGATAGCGGTGTTGTTACTTTCGATGACTTTCAATGACTTTTCAGAACATTTTGGATTATTGCGTAAAACACTATGAAATACAAATATGTGATGTATATTGATGATGATATTGTTCGCCCATCGTTGTCGATGACGACCCCATGCCAACTTTAGTTGCTCTTATATGTATATTAAGTATATTTTAAAAACTGCTCTGGCTAAATTATTTCAAAATAGCACAGACTGGCAGTATATAATGGAATATAAGACGATCAGTCTTTTTTTTTCTGACATACACAGAAAGGGCAAACAATCAAATGTGACAACTTAAACCACTAGTTTTGGATGCTCATGACGAGTTCTTTATAGTTTAACCAGCAGGTTGGTAAAGAAAGTAATCGTCTTCGTCAGAAGGACTATGAAATTGTCTCGCCGGAGTGTGGGGAACTGCGGATTTTGCGATATAACTCCGGAAGGCATGATTTGACGTCCATGATTTTTGGCAGGCATATTACCGCTGTTGAGGCTAAAGTCAAGTACAAGTTTCGGCTTCGTGGGGGGTCCGTGCGTCACGTTAGTGCACCTTTTGTGTTTGTGGCTTGTTAGCAAGATAACTCAAGTATTTGTAAAATGTTGATTATAATTCTTGGTGTGGTGCTTACTATTGTCAGGACCAAGGTTAAGTTCGTTACTGAGCTTCGTGGGGGGTTTCGTTGTGACTACAGGGGGCATTTTGTTAATTTTTCTTGTGAGCAGGATAACTTTTGTATGTGTGGATGGAAGTTAATGAAATTTGATAGGCATATTACTGTCGTGGTCTCCAAGATTGAGTTCAAAGATGAGAGTCGTGGAGGTCGTTATGTCCCCGTAATAGGACCTTTTGTGTTTAGAAATCCCCACCTACATCTGCTTGGAGACAGCCGACAGCTGGATATAGCTGGGGAACCCCATAATGGGATGGGATCAAATGACGTTACATTGAGGGATTGTACTATAACTTCAGCAGGGGGAGGATAGGTTGGACATATGTCAGGTTATTTTCTACGGCCACACCAAGTAATTGCTATGGATGACGTCCACTGGAGACCTTAAATCTAATTACCTTAAATTTAAGGCAAGCGCGCAATAAAAACACGAAGGGCCGAAAAACGAGATGCCTAGATTTGGAATATACTAACTGTAGAAGTACAAATGTTAGGACACAAAGAACACAAGAAACAAGTCTTCTATTTGTCATAAAGACAAATTAACAAAACAGCAGTAGTCACCCTGTTCTGATTCTTTCCTTTATAACATCTTCTCTTATTATATTTTTGCGGCGCTGTCGTGACACTTTCAACACAGTAAGAATTTCTTGAACGTTTTTTTCCAGTAACAGTCCAAACTCAAATAACGTGGGGGGGGGGCTAACACGGGTGACGACGCATCTGTATAATCTGCGGCAAACCGTTTCAGGGTGTTCTGTACCATAAAAATAGTACAGAGATTCTTTTGTTCTTTAGACCAAATTGATTATTAAAAAGAGTGAAGAATACGCATGTTAATTTCTCTAGAACGATGTACCTCTGACGAAGACATGAGATCTCCGACCTCTAGTTTACTCTGACTTAGTATCTCTAACAAAAGAATCGAGTATTCCTGAGGAAGGTTACCGAAACGTCAACAGATAAAATTCATTGGTTTTGTAGCTAAGAATCCAGTATATATGTATATCTTCAGGAAAACTCCACTCAGTCTCTGTGCAGCACATGTAACACGTTCATAAAAAACGTATCCTGTACATTGACGAAAGCACCTGATTACGCACACTAAGTACCGGAGACCTAAGGTACTTCAGTTGCCTTCACTCGCAATAATGTCGGTCGAGGACACCTGAAACTAAGCTTCAGAATTGCCTGATGTCCCGTTTACCTGCATGTATTGATTGAAGTATGAACAACGAAAGGACTCTCTTACAGAAGAACCAATCCTACGCTTCCATTTTTACAAAATTGACATTTATAGATTTATAGGGACCATTGGGGAGCGGTTGCAAGACTAGTTGAGTACGTTGAGCGGTTGAAGATCACTTGAGGACCTTTTAAACAAGCTCAGGCGGGCGGCAACGTGCGAATTTTCTACCTCGCTAGGGAAGTGTAGAGGTTGATGTAGACATCATTTGGTTGTGTTAGAGCTGTATTTTTGCCTTCCGATTCATACTACTATCATTACGGTGATTACGCTTGGGTGTTTTCCTCGTTTGGTCTTGGTCTGATTAAAGGTTCAAAATTTATTGTCGACTTATTTGAATTATGAACCAGTTGGTTCATAATGTTGATGCTGGTCTGTTGATCCCATTGCTCCTATTGTAACATTTGGGGCTATCATAGGATGTCTAGGCCTGTTCATTTTTTCTCTGTCGTTTCATGCTTTTTCTGAAAAAAACTGAGAACCTACAAATCAAATTGGTTTGGCCTAAGTGTTAAGTTGATAAGAAGATGAGAAAGAGACCTACTCATGCCGAACGATGACGTGGCCTGCAGGGGTCAGCAGGGTCGGGTGCAGCTGGACGATATCGACTTCTGCCAGTGACATCATCTGGACATGCGGCTTCCACACCTGGACTTCATCCGACAGAAGCACCAGCTGATCTGTCAGGTTGGACAGTCGACGGTCTTCCCATTCACACACACGGAAAAACTGCATTTCAAACGTCTGTGGAATACAAAAGTACGTACATGTAACTGTTTCATAAAGTACCATGCTATCTTTATCTATTAGGATTATTATTTATTTACTTGTATTTAAGTTTGGCATTCAATTTTAGCAAATTGGTTTTTAATGGGGCACAGTATACAGAGCATTAAAATCATTAGTATAATGTATAGTAGTAGAGTAGTGTAATAGTAAAGGAAGTAAGGTCTGTGACAACATTGTAACATAAGTAACAGAGAATTGATACATAAATACACATTCAAATAACTGAAAGTATATCTTGAGATTAGATACGGCAAGCAAATCTTACCAATGGTTTTATTTTTCAAAATACAACAATGTGTATCAATCCGAGAAATTCTCAGAAGATTGTAAGAGCTATTTCATTATCTTTCTAAATGTTTGAATTGTTGAGTTGTTAAATGTAGATATCGCAGATAAGATTGACATTTCTTCAACAGAAATGAGGATGGATGTTTCACGTTACCATAGTTTTCTCCGAGAATCCTCCCAAGCTCTGAATGAAAATTGCACACCGGACATCTACCATCGACCCTAGAAAAGACATACATCAATGACTCCCCTAGGCACACATACATCTTTGTACATCTGACAAACTTTAATAGTAACGTTAACATGTAAACTACATGCACCATACTCTACGAAGACTGACAGTATATTCGTTGCGTAATGTTTACGGACACCTGTTGGTATTCTAGAGCTTACCTTTCAATCAATTGCTTTATGTTCATGATAGAAGAGCTTCCGTAGCCAATACTCATAATGATTGTCTCTTGAAAATATATGAAGAGGTGTTGGTGCCACAACGTGCCCAGTTTTATCACTTTAGGGAAATGCTCGGCGTTATTTTCGTCGCTAAGTGTTACATGATTTAGAACGTGTGCCATATGGCGTCAAACAACACGTAAACACTTCTATAGCACGATGATGATATTACTGGTCTCTCGGTCATTGAGATCATTGGAAAACCTTTTCGAAGTTTTCGGAAGTTGTTGTCAAAGTATTGGAAGGTGATGATGCCCCATATGGCCCAGTTAACATGAAGTGAATAAAAAATATCAATCTTAGGATATAGTATGTATATACCATTGCCAAAGGGTATCGTCGAATCTATTCTACAAACAACACAGGCCATGTTTATTTGGTTGCATGTATGACGCATGCGGTTATTTTTTTTACCTCTCTGTTTGGGCGCCCTTTTGTCATTATAACCTTTGGGTAAGCGAATTGTCGTTTCATCATTTTCATACGCAGTGCTAGAGTCCAGCTCTCTGAAAAAAATACAGGAATAAATTAAGGCACGATATAGTACCTAGCTGTACGTATATAAAAGTCAGTGAACAAAAACTTGGATCATGGGGATAGTAAGATGTGCAATGCAGTGGGCGAATACAGTTATCTATGGTATGGCGTAACCGTTGCTCGGTCGTAACACCAGAGATGTACCCTATTCGATATAGAAGTATGTTACATATGAATTATCTAGTTTTGAAACGTTGTTCTTATTGCAGGTTAGATGTACTTGTCGACGACGTGTAAAATACTCACGGTAAGTTCTTCCCTAATATCGATACTGGGCAGTTACTTACGGTTGAATTCTTACCCCACCAGCCATTACAAACCACATATGTTTAGTAATTAAAAACCAAATATGAAGACAAAAACAAAATCATACTATAACTCACTCATTGGCACCGTGTGTAACCAACAGAGCTGCAGTAAGTATGGCCACCCAAGTCCATGTGTTCATCTTGGTGGTTATCATGTACAGGGATTTGATGGCGGCAATATATTTTTAGTACCCGGGAACATGGTGTGTGATATCTTTAGCCATGCTGTCTACGTATCTCCGGTGTCATGTTCGGTTAGGGGAAGGGGTCAATATGATACGTGAGTTACATATGATATTTCCCCTTTGAATAGATAAAGAACGAGACTTTTACATCGTGAGGCATAGAAGATTATACAATTGTAGTTTATGTTGGTAGCTGATGATTTATGAAAACCTTTGCAACATGCATTACTACTCATAAAGATGATTTTATTTTGCAATTTGATAGCATGCAAATGTACTTCACCGGCTGTAATTTTCTTGCAATATTGGGAACATACGCTAGGGGGCGCTTTCAATAGAAAGGGCTGATGGGAAAAATTCCTCTTTGTGAGGTCGTTCAAAATGGCGGCGCCAAATGAAAGTTTGCGGACTTGAAGAAACAATTCGTCGTTGTACGTCCTCATATTAAGCAGTATGCCGTCATGAAGAAGCCATTCCATCGGACATTGAGGACACTGCCGTGTGAGTCACAGATTTCTACGTATTCAGTTTGTAACTGTTTTATTTGTTAGCAGAGTTTGCCCCCCTCCCCCAAATATAATTTATGTTGTTTACATGACAAAATTTGCTGTGTTGTTTAGATCATTATAATTGCCGTATTACTGTCTCAGCTAAACCAAGTTTTGTAGGAGGAAACGACACCACAATTGCGATCAATGCCATAGTCTTTCTGTAGGTAAAAGTACACTTTGTGGAACGTGATCTAATTGTGTGTAATCAAATAAAAGTTTCCAACCTACGCCCACAACGCAAATAGTCGTGCAGGTATGTTTTCTAAAACGAGTGCAAAGTGTTACATTGTGACGATACCAACATAGAACACGATCGATATGTAGCACAAAGGTATAAGCCTATTCGGGACTTACTTGCTTTAAAATATATATGGAGCTTCATATATATAAGTTATAACAGTTATAACTTCATGATAAAACTAAAAGAAAACTGTAAACTAAATCTGAAATGAAATCTGAAGAAAGGTGAACATTATCAAATTGTGTTTATAGGAAATTCATTTATCTTCTTGGTATAAGGGGAAAGTATGTTTTGAACTTTTCTCTGTGTTTTACATATATGTTCATGGTTGAAATAATTCTAATTTCTATAGTACTAGTGTAGTCATAATACTTTAGAAAAGCATATTTACAAATCATGGCTTGTATTACTCACACAAGAGGTTAGAGACTTACTATATACATGTATTGAGTTAGTGCAGTTAAGTTAAATGAAACCATGATGTCACCTTTCCAGGACCCATGATGCACCTGAATCTGGAGGTCCTGGCATCAGCCTCCATCAAGAGGAAGAAACCCTGGCCTCGGCTGACATGGGTGGGACAGGTACATACAAGACTGTACAATGGTATACAGCACATATAACACTGTAACGGCATAGCCAGCGTAACACACCAGCTTCACAGGCACACAGCATGACAGTAGCAGGCTACTACATGTAGCTACATGGTACAAATTACACCGACCTGTTACATAGTTCTAACCTTTGCACATTCTAACCATTACTGTAAATGTTGTTTAAAGATATACCTACTTGTAGTGATGACGCTCCTACTGCACTAGGCAGTGTGTTTCCCCTGATGAAGTAAACAAACAAACAAACAAACAAGATATACTAACTCCAGTGCCATGTATGTTGTTCAGGAGAAGGAGAGCCTGTTACTGATGGACCATCGTCGTCTGAGTCTACTGTATCTGCCGTCAGGGAAAACCAAGAGGAAGATCACCAAAGTCAACAAGATGCTTCCCAACACCTTATGTATGAACACCTCTAGCAATGGTGGGTCCAATTTTCTGTACTTCAACAAGCACCGTTTACTGATAAATGTTTTGCATGTCAGCATGAAAGCTCATCTGTATGTGTTGATGAGTTTCAAAATGAAGTTTTAAAACTTAAGATGAACCCAGCAAAGATAGGTCACCTCAAATTTTTGCTTGCTCTTCCGTCAACCCTTTTCAGGTTATGATTTAATTTCTCTGAAGAAGGTTGATGAAAGAGCAACCAAAAATTTTAGGTGAGCTGTCTTTGCCGTGTTGATCTCAAGTATCAAAACTTTATTACGTTTTGCAGGATCTTACCTCGCCGGCCTCCTGACAACAGGAGAAGTGTTTGTGTGGCACAAGGACACAGACCTGCTGAGAACAACTGCCCCCCTCCCCAACATGGAGGACAATACCGGTACCTCACAAACAAGTCAGTATTGTATATTCATGTTAACTTTTGCAGAAGGAATATTTTTTCCCTCAGTTTCTTCTTCTATCTCTTCTCCAAACAAATAAGGTCAATGACCTGGACCAGACGTCTGTCACCATGGTAACAGGTGGTCTTGTATCACATTATGTAGCAGAGAGGCTGCTCACCTTGTATAAGAATGTATTCCACTGTGAGTAATAGATAATATTTGACAGTGCAATTAGTTTTTGGGTTATACTAGGTGAAGGTAAACATTATGCATTTGCACTACAAATGTTACCTTTCTAGTTCATAATGTTTCTCTCTGTTTGCCCTTGTTTGAGGTGAAAATTCATATTCATCTGCCACTTCTTGTTTTCTATCAAACTGAAAGATTTTTTTGTTGTCTGCTTTTGTCAAGGCTCAAGAAGACACCATGTCTATATCTCCAACGAGGGAGGAAAGATCCTTGTCCTTCGTAAGGATGGAAAGCTGCACATCTGGCAGAAGGATCAACATTCCTCCCCCTTAGCTTCCCCACAGAAGGCCACAGGAAAGATAACAGAACTGTCAGGCAGTTGGTATGAAGTAGGGGGAGGAAAGACCCAACTTCCAGGGGCAGACTGTAAGGAGGTGGCTGTTGATGCTGTTTTCTTCCAAGATCAGGTTTGGACATGTTCTTTCCTTTTGCCTCAAAAAGAAGGACTGTCTTATCAGTGTGATTGTTATTTAATACTTAGGACAGTGTTGTCAGTGTGAATGTTATTCAGTACCAAGGACAGTATTGTCAATCTGAATGTTATTCGGTACCACAGTATACTATTAGGTGATAGAAAAAAAACATAACCTCAAAATAAAATGCCTGCTTTACTTTTGTGTTCACCACAGGTCCAAGGCAACTGCTGCACATGTTCCTTTGTGTTTAACAATGGAAGGACCTTTACTGTGTCAACTGCCTTTCTCCACTGGCACGAGAAGGCTGATGCTTTTGCTCATGGGTAAGATACAAAAAGTGAATTTTCTGGTCATCTCTTTACAAAGTAGGTTGAATCAACCCTACTAGTACTCTATTTCAAATAAGTGCCATTCAGGAAGTGGAGGTGCCAAAATATGAGGCCTTAAAGTAAAGATGTGCTTAGAGGCTTAAAACACAGCTGTCAGCCATGTTTGTTTACATTCTGGTAGTTTATGGTGGTACCACAAACTGAATGTGCCTGATGTGTGCTATTTAGCACCAACCATATGATTGTTTTTCCTCCCAGGCCTGAGCCATTTTCGGTGATGTGGACTGTTGCCCAGCGCCCCCTACCAGCTGCAGTACCAGACAGTGCCAGGGGGGCCTACCTGGCCTGTTACACCCATGATGGACAGGTGCTGGCTGTTGCATGTAACCAGTGGCAGCCAAAGGACACAAAGGTACAATGTCAGCTGTGTTGGTAGTAATCATAGTAAAATGCTAAACTTTATTCCAACACAAGGGGTACACAAGGATCAAATTTTCAACAACCACTGTCGCCTTCATCAGGATAAGTAATGACCAATCACATAATCCGCAAGAGTTACAGACACCTGACCTGTTCACACGAGATTTTACGGATACGTGATGTTAGCAATCGGTCAAACGTGCTAAGCAGTCTATGTTGTCCACGGTCTCTGTTTAGTGATGGCTGAAGTGCCCTGATATGTATAGCCTCCTTTATTCCTCTTTTTAGAGGTATAAAGGAGTCCATAAAGGAAAATCAAAAGCCATCCTAGAAATACATCCTACAGTCAGTAACATCACCCATGTTACATCAGTCCAACATACTTTACAGCTCTGAGTGACAATGAAAACTTGTGTTCCAGGTGATGTTTGTGTCTGTGTTGACATCCACTGCTGTGGAAGCCGACATGCAGAGCTGTGGAGCTAAAACATATGACCTTCCTCCAAAGATACTCAGGTACAGATACTCTGAAAGACCATTACTATGGCTATCTGTCTATATTTGTCTCTCTTTCTCTCTCTATATATAACAGAGGAACTTTGCATATAATTGCACTGCACTCCTCTTTTTCTAATCTTTTGCCTGCCAATGGCAACAGGTTGTGTCTGTCCTTGGTGCTGACTTAGTCGCTGCTATCTTTCTGTGGATTATCAATAGAAAGATGATATTAAGTATGTCTTAAATGAGTATTGAGTATGTCTTCTATGTCTTATCCTTTCTTTAAGAACCTACTGGATCTGTGGGATGAGGTGGACATGGGATGACTTGCTGCTGGTCTGCATCACCAAGCGAGGGTCAGTGGTCATCTTGACCCGTCTTGGAGAACCTCTCACACTGACCACTCACGGCTGTTCAGTAGAGATGGGACCTAGCCTGTACCTGCCTCTACACCCTCTCATCATGTACAGGTATATAACTTTGCAGTGGAGATCATTCTGGTGCCTGTAACATTCAAAATTACCTGCACCAGTCAAAATAGGTGGTGGCAGGTGCAGAAAAAAGAAAGTTCGTGGTACAGAAGGGACCCTGAAAACCGTGAACATTATGTACCATAAAAATCAGGAATTACAGTGTCAGTAGTAGACTATCAGTGCTTTAATATGTTTAAACTATTACATCTCACATCTGTACTTACACAATGATTATAACTTTGAGCACTGGTGTGTTTCTCTATCCTAGCCCAGGTCAGGAAAACATTCACCCCTCCAAGATGGCCTCCCAAACCTCCCCTCCCTCCACCTCCGAAGTCGACCCTCTGAAACAGCGATTCTCCATCACCACCCATCCCCGCCTTCCCATCATCCTCTGCTCTGACGGCTACATGGTGACGGCCATGCAGTTACCAAGGGATCTTACGACGGCAAACGCCTTGAAGAGTCTCTGTGTGGAAGCTAACCGCGTGCTCGCTACTCTTGGTGTTCAGCCCAAGTTGGGATCTACCCTGACAAGGGTGTTTGGTCAGGATAGTGTCGGCGACAAGGGAAAGGGTGTGAAACAGTGGAGAAAAGTGGCAGCCGGTCTAAAGTTGTCCGACACCAACCGAACAGGAGAGACAAACAGTTTCTCCAGCGCAAAGAGGTCGACAGTAAAGAAAGGAGGGCTGCCGAGGTACTCTTTTGAAGAGCCAACCGACAGCGGGGATCTCAGCCAATCAGAAAGCGACTTATCAACCGTCGGAGCAAACACGAGCAAAGCGGGACTCGCTAGTGGCGATGAGGGAAAGATATTCTTTGGAGATCATGATTTGGTGAACGACACCGTAGTTCGGCCAGAGAAAGCGAAGACACCTTCAGAACTAGCCGAAAGTGTGTCCTGTACCCTACTCTGTGCATGGGGCCTCAGTCTGTCATATAGCGGTCAGTGGACTTGGGAACTAGAGGTCATCACCAGGCACATAGTGGACTGTCTGGTTAAGCTGGTCAGCCGTCTCTTGCAAGCTGAGGGAGGGAAGGAAGAGAAGAAGAAGAAAGGGAAGACAAAGAAGGAACATCCGGGGGTTTCAAAGGCGCTTGTGTTGTTCCGACATGCCATGAATATGACCAACTGGGACTCAGTTCACCAGCACTGCTTACCTTGTGCAGTAAGGCTGGTGGACGGGGTCACAGGTCAGCTGCTGGGAAGGGTCAGAGGTCGTGACATAGGGGTCAGAAGTCAGCTGGAAACCCTGGCAGGATGTCAGTATCTGCTGAAGTTCGCTGAAGAGAGGCTGAACAGAGCATACCTGTGGAATCCTGGGATAGGTGGAAAACTAACGCATGGAAGGTAGTTCTTTACCTATAAACTTGCTTGCTGCCATGGCAACATAAGTGCAATCATTTATGTTTTCATCAGATGAGATTCAGCTGCAAATTTATGATACATGATGTTTTGTATTTCTTTCTGTTTGCCTATGATTGTTTGTTTTCCAACAGTGGCTCAGAAAGACTAACAGCCCTAGGTTGCAAGATGCAAGGCAAGCCTGGCCAAAAGTATGTTTGAATTTTTGAATTCATTATGTAGTGTCTGTTTTCATCACATGTGTACATGACGGTGTATATATTATATGGTATAGTTTATTTGTGGTCATTTCTTAGCACATCTGGCACTAAAATATTTAGATCGCAGTACTTACCATATCTAGGAGAAAAGAGAAATACCATATATGTTTTCTCTGCATCAGGCTAGCCAAAAGCTGGAAGCTGCTGTACAACCTAACGGTGAAGCAGTACCTCTCACTGAAGACAGGGGGCTCTGCTAGACCATCAGAAAAGAGAGCAACTCTGAGTCTGTTAGGCCAGCTCCAGCACCAGCTACAAACACTGGGTTGTGGCATAGGAGGAGCCAAGAAGGCTAAGTCTGATCCAAGTATGTGGTGTCTCTTGCTGTTTGTATTCTGTTTTGAGTCTTAAGTGAATTCAAGAGCAAGTTCAGCATAGCTTTTACTTGAAGTTGTTCAAATTTTCCTCTAAAGCCTCTGTTTTTCAAGTGGATGGTTTTTTTTAAGCCAATCAGATACTACTAGATGGCGACACCACCCAAGCTTTGCACCAATGGGAGGAGAAACTCCAGTCCCTGCAAGACAAACCAGAAACCCCACAATCAGTTGCCATGGAAACCATCACCCTCCTGTCCATCCTGTACACCCACCTGTTACAGTACAACCTGGGTGCTGCCCTCCTATTGGTCCAGTCTTTGATTGACAGCTGGGATGGGGAGAGCTCCACCAATCAGAGGCCATCAAAGGTGGTTGAAGGGGGAGGAGACTTTGATGGCCAGGAGGGTTGGGGTGTTCTGAGGAAGGCGGCGAGACCCGTGGTGCGAACGTTAGCCCGGTTTATGGCAGCGTATTTCAGTAACAAACAGCTGTATGTGTACCCGCTACATGCAGCCAGGCCACTACCACCTGTTCACCTGGAAATGGGTGCAGGTGGGTGCTTCTTTTATCCTTGGATTTTTGTTTAAAATATTTTACATTGTACTAAAAAGTATCATGAAAAAATCAGGAATTACAATATTGGTGGTCTTTAATTCTCTAGGCCCCCGAGCAACCCCACTTCACCATACGGAGGTGTCCTCTGCAGTCAGAAGACAGAGCCTGTCCGATGTGTGGACTGCAAACTTCACCATGGAGCTCCTGCTGCTGTGTGGACAGGCACCAGAGGCCGTGTGGTTAGCCAGCCAACTGGGAGACTGGAAGGGGGCCTTCATGTTGGCTGTATCATACCTGGACTACTTAAAGACCACCCCTGCCTCTACCAAGTAAGGGAAAATCCAAAATTAGTTGCGGGCTGAATATTTCATACAGTTATGTATTTCAGAATCACTTGTAAAAAGGGCAGGACTGTGTCCCTGAGGCATTGCCAAAAATGTTGTTTGAATCAGTGATTTATGATATTTTTTTGTGTTTTTCTTCCCCAGACTTAACCAGTCACTACAGCTGCCAGACAGTCTCCATCCTCTGGCCCTGCTGCAGGGCAGGCTGGTGTCGTTCCTATCCAAATCACCAGGTGGCGCTGAAAGCACACATGCTGCCATGGAGGGGACCTCACATGCTCTCAAGAGAACTGCTTCCACAGGTGAAGAAATACATCATAATCTTTAAAGGCCTTTTGAAAAAGATGTCTCTAGAAAGTGTGTTCAAAATCAGACAAAAATGCAAACAACATATTTAGCAAACATTGGTCTCTTTTTTTGTTAGTTGTACATGTAGTGTGATTTTGTTGTAGTGTTTCCAGGTGACCTGTAGTGTTATACTAAGCTTATAATGCACACATTTGTAGTATCCTCTTCTCAATCTATACTTCAGTTCTTGAAAAATTTCCTTTGAGGATTTTATTTAGAAAGATTATCACATGATGCCATTTTCATAGCATTGTCATAATAGTCCATCTGAAATTCATCACACTCACAGTATTTTTTAACCAAATTTTTCAGGTTCCCTGAACTTTGATGAAGACTCCAACACTGACCAGGTGTGTCGCAGCCTGCAGGACCTGTTTACGGCGGCAACCGTTGCCGGGGCGGAGGCCGTACCCTGGTTACTGGAGAGGGTGGTCGGACAGATGCAGGCAGTGTGCTCCAGGCTCAGCACAGAGGTGCCAGCAGGGCTGTACCTCCCCGCTCCTCCATTGTACCTGCCCCAGCCAGCATCTATATCAGAGGTTAGGGCTAGTCCATTACAAACTTAAAGGGGTGTTTTTTAATCAAATATGTAGGTATATTAGAAGTTTTGATACAGGGAGAATTTTCTTTGTCATTCCATTTTTAGAATTTTTGTTTAGTGCTGTCTTCTCAACTTTCATTATAATGTCCTTTGCCAATATTAATGTTGAAGAAATTTCTTGTACTGGTCTTACTCAAACTCATATCATTGATTTAACCCTTTCCCCACCGAGATAGCCATTTCAAATAGCTAACCCTATAATATCAAGGATACCTTGATATAGGGTTATACAGCAGGGAGCAGGTTGATAGACTATATACTGTTGAAGTAAAGCCCCCTGACCAGGACCAAACCCTGTCTCTCAGATGGTTCAGTGTTAACATGTTTTCCTATACTGTAGGAGTATGTGGACCCAGATGTCAGACATGAGAAGGACCTGAGGAGAGAGATGGCGCACCTGACACAGCTGGCCCTGGTGCTGCTGCAGGCTGCCGGCTGTCAGCTGCCCTGTGCCAGGTGGTACCTGCAGCAGCTGCTGCAGGCTAGGCAGGTGTATAACAAGAAGGTAGCTTGACATATTCAACTACCTCAGGCAATCTTGTTAAACACTAACCTGTGTCAAAGCAACATATTACTAGTATTGTTGCCTTAGCTGCAATTTCTGAAAAGATCAGAGTGTGCTGCTGCACATTGACAATGGCTGAATTCAATTCATCTTCACTTTGTGGTACCGTAAACTATAGACCTACAATAGACACACACACATGCTTCTCCTTTTGTGTATTGTACTTAGAGTTACTGTTGTCTATATATTTGCTTTACTTTGCTGTTTGGAGCTTCATTCCCGTATATTAGATATTTTTCTTGAGTTTGTTTATCATGTTTTTCTAAGCATAACGAGTATAGAGTGTATTTCTCGGTTTCTTTTTCACTCTAGATCAAGAAGCTCCCATCCAACAGTCTAATAGAGATGCCAGAAGGTCTGGCCACACTGTTGGCCACTGGCCAAGACTTCAGAACCTCACCTAGCACAGCTCAGCCCCAGGGCAGTCTGTCAGCACCATCTCAGTCCCGGGACACTCTGCCAGAGCCAACCCTGAGTGTCGTTACATCCTTTCGTCGGCTGTGTGGGCTGCTGTGGATGTTAGAGGTCAGAGAGAGGCTCTCACTATGTGGGAGGAAGCTGCAAACACTCCGGGAACAGGCATTCCAAAAGGTGAGATGATTCTAATGTCGTATAATACCAAAATCAATTCCGTAGGAAAAGAAGAAAATTTGAAGAATGAAGAGTCTATTATTTGCCATACCATATCTGTGTATTTAGTCATTTGTTCAATCTTCCTTAAAACATATATTTCTAATGAAGGCAACTTTTTTTTGCCAAACTTTTTTACTCACACGCATCAGTTTTGGGATTCCTAGAGGATGGCTTCCATATAATCAAATCAACATGGCCTTATCTATTTTCTATTTTTCCTGAAGCCTGGCGGCAGTGATGGAGAGGAACTTGAGCTGTGTAAGACAGCGTTGGACTGGGCCCTCTGCATGCTGCCCTTTGCTGACTACTTGGATGCTGAAGACGACTTACAAGACATTGTGCTGTCTTTGGTAGGAGAGCTGCCCATGACAAGAACGACAGGTGGGTGTCTTACCACATGTTGTTTATTCTTAAAGAGGCTTCTTATATATTAGCTTTTAGCATGTAAGTGTGGCCATGTGGCATACCAGAAATAGCAGAGTAACAAGAGACCAAGAGGTCTTGGGTTCGAATCCAGCCATGAAACTGATCTTACGCCCTTGGAAAAGGCACTTAACACGACTTTCCTCACTTCACTAATAATAGGTGAAAATGAGTACCTAGATTCGCTTAGGGATGTCCCTCGGAAAGGACATTAAATGAAGGTCCAGTGTTTGGGGACAGCCACACCCCACACATGTTAAAGAACCCACTATACATGTACTTATCAAAAAGTGTAAGTTGGCTGTAATGTTTCATTTTTGTCCACAGGGGACATCCTTGCTGACTATTTTTACGACCCCGAGCTGCTCTCCCCCACCGTTGAAGAAAAGTGGAATCACCTTCAGACCAAAATGAGGAAGACCAGAATATCAGTGGACCAGGCCACTGAACAGCAGGGGGTGGTGTCAAAAGAAAGCAAAAAGCAAGGCAGCAAGACTGAAGGAAAAACCATCATGCTGTCAGTCTACACCCACAAAAAGAGCAGTAAACAAAAGAAGGAGATCGAAAAGAAAGCTAAAGTTTTCGGCTCTTACGAAACTCAAGTCTTCAGCAACAGGTCCTCTGACAAGAAAGTCTGCGTCGGCTCTTGGCCATTCGAGACGGAAGACTCCTACCTTTTCTTCCTGGAAACCTTCTTTTCTGTTGCGTTCGAGAAGGCCAGACAGGAAGAAAAGGGAGAGAAGATCCCCCTCCTGGCTCCGAACAAGTTGGAGGTTAGGGAGAGAGAGGTGAACTCTATGGCTCACAAGGCAATGTTGACATTCCAGCACAAGAGCTTAGTGGTGAAAGCAGCCATGTCTTTCCTTGGGGAGGCAAGTGACAAGGACATTGAGACAAAATCCCTGGGAAAACAGAGCTTGTCTCAGTCTCTGTCTTTTGTGGGGAGAGGGAAAACTGAAAGAAAGCGCTTGTTCAAGAGTAGAAGTGTCGCAGACGTGAACGAAAGCGAGACTGTCCGCATGGGTGATGTCAGCGCAGGAGGGGATGATGGGAAATCTAGAAAGTCTCTCTCCCAACGAAGAGCTGCAAGCCTGTCTGACCTTGGACAGCAGAGGTCACCCTCAAGGTCGTGGGTCAGCATGACTGACCTGAGACCGAAGGTCATCAACCTCGGCGGTAAGTTTGACGAACTCACCCCCCTGGTGGAATGGCTGCACAGGTGGTCCTGTAAGAAGAACATGATGAGTCCCAGCGTCAAGGATGGCGCTCTCCCAGGGGGAGGAGGTGTGGTGGACAGCAAAGCCGTGATCAGGGTCAGGGTCCCTCCAAGTCTGGTGTTGACATCGTTCTGGCTGATGGAGAACCTGTACTTCAAGAAGCAGCTGTCAAGTTCAACACTGCCCATCCCACCCCAGGAGTATGTGGTGTACCCGGCATTTGGTGGTAGCGAATCAGGCACACAGCATGCAACGTCACATGATTCTGGGAACAGGGAAGAGAGGAGACAACCAAGCAATGTGGATCACAACAGAAGACAGGACACGGAAGAACATACAGCTCCTGAGGAAAACAAGAGAAGAACCAAGCAACCCAAAGTTAAGAAGCAAGCGTCGCACGAGACAAGCAGTGAAGGTATGAGCACGGAAGAAGCAGGAAAACACACCAGACATCACAGAACGAACAAGCGACAACAAGCCCAGTCACACGCAGGCACGAGGGGAAAGAGCCCTATCAGAGTGCACGGTCAGTAAGGGAACTAAGATATGCTATCTCTTGTAGATGACATTTGCACAAAGAGGTCTTTTGAAATTTCTCTTTATTTCTTTTTATCGCATCACTGGATAACTGTCACCTTGACACGCTAGTTTTGTAAGTGCAAGCTGTGTAAGGCCAAACTAATACTAAGTACAATTGACTTTTTCTTGCTTTTTTCTGTGTAGCCTCAATCCCCAGACATGTATTGGAGTCGCCAACAGAAGCATCCTCTTCTTCGTGGACCCCTGTCCTGTCATCTGATAGCCCGGTGAGAGTAGCATCTTTTAACTCTACCTTTAACACCAATTGCACAATTTACAGTATGGTCAAAAACTTTTTGTTTTGAAAATGGACGAAAATTCATGCACACGTGGATATCACCCATATAATCAAATCAACATGGCCTTATCAGTGTTATATGGTACATGTTTAACAAATTTTCTGTCTGGTGTTTCAGGCAGAAGAAAAAGTTGTGCCTCTTCCAGCATCCATGACGTCAGTAACAAGCATGTCACCTCCACGAGTTGAACCAAAGAAGAAACTTTCCTTCGCAAGTCAGCCATCTACTATCAGGTAAAAAAACAAGCTGTAACTGTTCTTTTTTTTCATGATATTGATGTTGATAAGCAGTGTTTTAGCCAGCCTGAACTTTTTTTCTATATCCATTTCCATTTGAACAACAGACGATATACCGGACAGTCAGTGAGTGAGTGATCCCAATTTTGTTTGACGTTACAATTTGAAACAATCCTAGGAAAGTTAGCATCCTGTTATATCTGTTACATGTGTTCAGCCCTGAAGAAACCATCAGGAGTGAAGATAGCAGCACATTCAACATCAGTTCCCTGGCTGATGATGAGTCACAGGCCACGCCCACAGGACAGCCAATCACAATCCCCACTCCTGGGTCTCACTTGACCAATGAGAGACCGGTCGCCTCATCCACTCCGCAATCCGCCTTCGGAGGTCAAAGGTCAGAGGAACCCCAACGAACGTCCTTTGAGAAAAATTCTCGAACAGCGACTCAAAATGAGACAGTTATTCCTGGAAAAGGACAAGCTGGTTCAAAGAATAAAGGTCGTGGTACAATGGGAGCGCCTGTACCCAGTGGGTCTTCAACATTACCTGGGTTCTCTGGACCTAAGAAGGTACATTTTGTAAGTTGATCTTAAGTCTATTTCCCTATACATACTTATATAGACTAGACTTTGTTTTCAAACACAAAAGCAAGTGTGTCCTATCTTTTGATCATTTGATACATTATACATGACTGTAGATGGACAAGTTATTAACAAAAAGAATGAAGTAGTTAATATATTCCAGTAAGAAATCACCATTTCTTGTGATACATTGAGCTGAGAGAAATGACCACCGTCATCTTCTACATACAGGGCAGCACAGTTGCAGGAAGCCCTTCCTCCTCAGTAGAAGATGCTGTCAACAATGTGAAGGAGATGAGACAACTGGTCAGGTCTGAGCTCAGGAGTATACTGGAGGTATGGTGGACTGTACTACATTTGCGTGCATGTGTGTGTGCATGTGTGTGTGCATGTGTGTGTGCATGTGTGTGTGCATGTGTGTGTGCATGTGTGTGTGTGTGTGCGTGTGTGTGTGCGTGCGTGCGTGCGTGCGTGTGTGCAGCTGCTGAAAATACCACCTGAAGAAATAAAGCATACTGTAATGTTTTGTTTGTACCAGGTCCAGCACCAGAACATAGTGAGCCTGTTAAACAGCAGTGGAACTGTGAATGTGGTGGTGGGGAACACTGGACACAACCCTGGTCCTGTACAGGGTCACACTACAGACAGACAAACACAGGTCAGGAGAAACTATACTATCTTTACCTATCATGTTTATCCTGTGGAGTTCAACTTCACAGAAGGAAAACATGTTGTTTCTGCAGTGCTTCTTATTCCTCTTCTCCAAACAAAGTCAATGATCTGGACCAGAAGTTCTGTTACTTCCTCCCCCTTGCAGGTCAGCCAAGAACTGCAGGTGGCCCAGCTGGAACACATTGCTGCACAGGTGTCTCCAGCTGCAGCTGCATCACGACAGGTGCAGAATGGCCTGCAGTCTTCAGCTGCTGCACACAACCCGGCAGGAAACCCCCCGGGACAGCCACAGGGGGAACCTTCCATGCACAACGCACAGGGGAGACCTCAGTGGTCTCATCTTTCCGTTCCTCTGCTTCGGCACCCGGGTTTCCCAGACTATCACCAAAACCCTGTTGCACATTCCCAACTCACACGTGAACCTAGCACCAACCCGCACCTTCAAAACCCGTCAACTTTCGGAAACCTGCATCCTAACGACAACACAACAAGACCAGACAACCCTGGACACAACCCTGGTTACGCTGTTCCAGGGAGCAGCCTGCACCCCCCAGGCATGCCGCTTCTGAGGCTGCCAACAGAGGGGCCGTTCCAGCGACCGGTCGCCGTCCCGTTTGAAGCCTGGGGACAGAGCAGTAGACCTGCTGAATCACACGACCACAGCGTACAGGCTTCTGACGATGACAGCAATACAGGCTGGCCTCGGCACCTGAACATGGAGCAGTACGATGCTGAACTTGTGAACAGTGTGGGCAAAACGGGAGCTAAGAAAGACCGAGGTCCTTTGATACCTCCGGATAAGTCAAAATCTAAGAAATCATACAATAAGCCTAGTAATCCAACACCACAACAAGCAGGTGCTCAAGGAGTGGAATTTCCAGGTGCTTTTGCACCTGCGATGCCATTACTGCACCTGGACAACAGCTATGCACCCTCCCAGATGATGAGGGGCATGTACCGAATGCCTCAACCTCAAAACAACTATCCACACTTCCCGGCATTCCCTCAACCACCAGCCATGTCCACCCCTCCCCTCCCCCCAACTGATATAGAAGATGTCACACTTCGTCTACCACTACTCCATCTAAGAAACGATCCACAGGTCCCGTCTTACCACTACAGCTTTGCCCCAGGCATGCCAAGACTTGTTCCACCTGAAGAGATCATAGCCTACGAACAGAAGAAACATCAGACAGAAGTACTCAAGACGCACAGGAGACAGAAGAAGAAGGAAGAAGACGCAGCCGCTAGAAGACAGGAGAGTCTGCCTCTTCTTCAAGCAGACATTGAGCCGTGGGATCAGAAGGGTGACAGGGAAAACTTGAACAGGTGTGTTTGTGGTGCAAAACAGACTTGTTTCACCATTCCTGTTTTTTTTTTTTGTAAGGCCATGTTGATATGATTATATGGATGCCAACCATGTGTGCATAAATTTTTGTCCATTTCCAAAAAAAAGTTTTCATCCATACCGTAAATCATACAAAGCAGATGCAAAATGAGCAAAAATTTGTCCTAGATTGCAAAAAATATTGGAAAAGGAAACTAATATAGAATGCCACAATCAAGAAGAAAGTTGTGAAAAAATTAAGTCTATTATTCCCCATACAATTTAATGTGTTTACTCTTTGTGTTTAATCATTTGTTCAACCTTCATGACCATGTAGGTTTCATTATAATAAATACAACATTTCTTTTTAAACCTACAAACATTTTGTAGCAAAATATAAAGTACATGTATGTGTGAGTACAATGTACTCAATCATCAGCTCAGTACAAAGAACACAACATGAGTACAAGAGGGCTCTTGTACATGTAGATTTAGTCAAGTACAGAGTGAGATGGTTGTGTGTACATGTACTTAAACACTGTTTCCATACTTGTATCATCATTGTTACAATGGTAAAGACTGTATCAGAAACAGTAACTCTAACCTTCTCCATGTCTGCCATACAAAGAAGACGTATGAAGAAAGACTCAGGACTGAGTCAAGATGTGGGGAAGATTCAAAGAAAGGGAGGGGGGCGAGAGAAGGAAGACAGAGTATCAGTGACAGAAGAAGAAGATGAACAAAGTCATGATGAGGTAACTTGTTTTCACAGTCTTTTTGTCACAGTGAGTGATCTGTTGCTATCCTGGGTGCCATCCGATTTATAACAGCAACCCCCAAAAAAAGATTTTTTTGGGGTTGCCGTTACAAATTGGATGACACCCAGGCTAATCTGGTACAGCCTTGTGTGTTTTTTTTATAGTATGATATACCATAAAACTTGAAAAAATTGATGTGATTTTACATTGTACTTTTCCAGTTTTTGCTCACACTGCATGCAAACAAAGATTTTCTGTAATTTTTGGTCAGTGTGCCAAAGCGAGCTACAAACATTGCAAATGCCTCCATTGCCACAAAATTAAGTCCATTGAAACAGAAAATTTAGGGCATTAATGTAGTTACTTTACCGCAGTGGTCTAGCAAGCATGTCTTTCTGTCATTTGACATGTCTTATTGCAACTTTTCTTTGTGAACATTTCAGTGGAGAGCATTTACTATTGAAACAAAAAAAGCTCCTTTTACCTTCTTGTGATCCGAGACTAAAGAGAAAGTGGTCTATTATGTTATACGATCTTGAGAGTCCCATTTGAGAACACTTGAGTCCCTCTCAGTCAGCCATGTTGTTGTTTCCCTTAACACTACACATCAGTTCAAGTAGGGATACGTTCTATTTGTTTGTTCCCATATTGTTTCACCTCCTTGGATACAGGTCATGCAAAACATAGCGATGACTTGTAAAGAAACATTGAGACTGCTCAATTGGAAGTTTACAATGTATTTAGAAGTTAGTTTTCAGAGCATCAGGGCTACATTTATGGAAGTAGATGAAAATTTATACTTTTTTTTCAGAGGATTTCAGAGGCTATTAACATTCATCTTTGGACTTTTTCTGAAAATTTGTTAGAAAGGCGACATTCTTTTTGTTATGCACAAAAAAGATTTTGTGCAAAAAAAAGATTTGACTATTGTACATGCATGCTACAAGTTGAAAAGGAAAATCCATGGATACCCTGTAGTAAGTGTAGCAAACTACAGGCATGTTGACATCTGTGCAAAGCCTAACACTAGTAACAGGTGTCAGAATGGTGTATATAATAAGTGGTGTGGGACAACCATACAAATGTTACCATGGCAACACCTCAGCCTTATGGAGGCATATTATGGGCTATTCTGTACATAATCCAGTTGGATTTCTGTGCACTGAGTAGCCATTGATAATATGATTATGATATTTTAACTCTCCCATTTACATGGGCCAATTATAAACCATGTTTTTAATGAGACTGGAAGGGTTACATGTACATGTGTTAACAAGGCTCAAAGTACTGGATGCATATGTGCAGGTAAAATTGGGGCTGTGCAGGTATTTCTGATGTATACCTACACCAAACCTTTACTGGTCCATTTACTGGGTTTATATAAAACTGTAGGACCTGTGTGTATGTTGTTTTTTTTATTTGCTGCATTCACTGTTACCACAAAAGTTTTTCGGACAGAAATAGTAAACCACTTTAATTTCCACAGTTAAAGTAAAACCAGGTGTTGTGTGGATTTTGATCACAGCCTTCGTGTGTTGAGTTTTCCAGGTGTGAGAGTGGTTTCTGTATGTAGTACCCAGGTGAGAGTATGCCTCTATGGTTTACAAGTCCAGATGTAGTGGTTTTATCACTAGGAATCTATATACACTGGTTGGAATAATAATGCTTCCATGACACAGCAGTACAGATGTTGTCTTTGTTACACTTGGTGACTCATATGACAACCTTTGTGTCCAGGTTCCCACTCCAGGTGTGATCGTGGTCCAGCCCTCCCCAGGCCCTGACAGAACCACCCAACACAAGACTACAGCTCATGATAGACAGGACACAGCCATGCCTAGGGACCAGGGCTATGTCATACCACCTGGTAAGACAACACTGTACATAGCATCTGTCTTCTTTGTTACGACCAGTGAGAGATTAGCCCTTCAGTGACCTAAAACTAGATCGAAATCATTTTCCTTGTTGGAACAGGGCTCTGAATCCTCGGTCTCGGTGCTTGAGACAGTCCTGATGCATTATTAAATTTCATTGTTTGACCATTCTTGCCAAAATCTAAAAAGAAAAAAAAGACTTTTAATAAAGGAATAAAATCCCTACCTACTGACACTGTTTTGTTCAGGACATTACTTTTAGTAATTTTCCTACGTAATTTTGTGTAATTTTGTATCATGTGGCTAACCTACTACTGTACATCACTGAATGAAAGCCTATATGGAACAATTCTAATCTTTTTCTCCTGTATTCTGTTTTGCAGGTACTTTTGATGAATATCTGGAGTACCAGACAGTTGTCCCTACCCCAGCACAAATTCACTACGAAGCTGTCGTCAACAAGAAAGCCAAACCTGTCATGAAGACAGCCGACACACAGACAGACAAACCCAGCCAGGATACAAACGTGGACACTCAAACTGTACAGACTGAACCTGAGAGGGAAAGAACCAAACCACACACCACAGCTGAGAAGGAGACCAATACAGTCATTGTTGTATCTAGAGGTAGGTTACTTTCATGATCAGTGGTGCATTGGTGCAACCACAGAAAGAAATTGGATGCACAGCTCCAATTTTGGGTGCACTAAGTATTTCGAGCCCTGCATTCTGTTGATGTTTTTTCCAGATGTGTACAGTGCGGAGCAGGCAGTGTCTCAGTACACTGCATCAGGGATGGATGTTAGCCGCGGGGGTCCAGGTCTGCCACCTGACATATTCTTCAACCTCCGCTTCGGTCGGGAGGCAGCACAAGCTACAGACAGGAGTGCTGGTCAGGCACCGGCTCAGAGACAAGATCAGGAGGTAAATCCTTGTCCTTGGTGCTGATTGGCTATCATGTCAATCAAACATTCTTTCCCTTAGTGCTGATTGGCTATCATCTAGATTTAACATTCTTGTCCTTAGTTCTGATTGGCTATCATCTCAATCCAACATTCTTGTCCTTGGTGCTGATTTGCTCTCATCTAGATTTAATATTCTTCTCCTTGGTGCAGATTGGCTATTATTTCAACTCAACATTCCTGCCCTTGGTGCTGATTGGCTATCATCTTGATCAAACATTCTTGTCCTTGGTGCTGATCGGCTATCATCACAATCAAACATTGGTGCTAATTTGCTATGATCTTGATCAAAGATTCTTTGCTGATTGACTATCATCTAGATTTAATATTCTTATCCTTGGTGCTAATTGGCTGTTAATTCAATCCAACATTCCTGTCCTTGGTGCTGACTGACTGACATTTGAATTCCATCAAAACTTGTCCTATTTTCAACAGGTCCAGACCCCAGCATTCCTTAATGTGGTAGACATTGACAACAGCCTGCTGAAGGACCTGAAGCCGACCAGACAGCCCAGACAGCAGAGACAGAGAACTCCTGACACACAGGAGACAGAGGAGGAGCACAGGAGGTCCCCGCCCTCCGGTCTCCCTGACGACGCCACGCCCGCAGACCTCCACTACAGACTGGCTGGACTCACCAACAGTGTCAAACCTGCAGAAGTGGACGACGAAGGTCAGCTTTGTATCATTCTTGCTGCTGCAAAATCAGAACTATTTCATGACCATCAACAGATTATTCACAGTTTGAATCATTATTTGTGTAAGGTTCTCACTGTAACTATGCAAATTATGCAACTTCAATGTTTACAACATTTCTTTCTGTAAAGCAACTTATTACTAAGATTTTGATGTACAATGTAGGGTAATACATAAATGCTGACATAAGGAACAAAATTGTAAATCACAGACCTCAATGCATTATTATCTGTGCTCATTGTGACTGCAGGTAACATCAGAGAACCACCGGGTGGAGACTCCCTGACTGTAGATCTGCTGTCTTCTGTCACTGGGGAAAGGTAGGAACTCAGAACACATCTGTTCCAAGCTATCTAACGATAATACCCCTACTGTACTTGGTGACAGCGAGTTCCACTCAATTACAAATGCCTTAGGAGTGTGTTCCCTGTTTGGTGAAAGTATTTTTTCAGAAGAAACCATTTTCATCGTTCCAAACACCATACAACACTGTGTTGTTGTTTTTTCAGTCCTGCGAACCTGTCGAAGATTCGGCGCGACACGGCAGGCATCCGCGCCAAGTCACGGGAACGTTTGGCGGACAAGCTGATGGAGATGGGCCGACAACTGGACGCCATTGACCAGATGGCCACCAACATGGAGGACGACTTCAAAAACACCCGACTGGTAAAACAGTGGATGGATTCATGTTTAAAGTTAAAACTTTGGATCCAACACAAGAAAATTGTTATCACCTACATTGCAGAGATTTCCAGTCATTGGTCTTCCTACATGTAAGGCATCATATTTTGGCACCTTCACTTCCTGAATGGCACTTATTTGTAATAACGGAGTAGGGTTTAGACTTACTTCATAAAGAAATTTACTTTGTTACTTTACTCCAGCTTTAAGCTTAGGCCTCTCAATATTTCCCAGCAGAAAAACCATAACCATAATCAATTTAGAAGGAATATCTAACTTCAACAATGTATTTTCCTTAGCTTGTTAACACCATAGACCACCTGGGTGAGGCCATCTATCCAGAGGAGGAGTCTGTTGCTAGGAGACCAAGAGGGCGCGGTCAGCAGTATGACAGCCGTCATCATGACAACAGCATCCCACCTGTCATTGATGAGGAGGAAGAGAGGATGTAAGTTTTCTGTTATCAATTATATTAATGATAATTGTACAACCTTTAGTATGATTTCATCTAATGTTAAAAAAACACCATCATGTAAGGCACATGTAAAACATTGACATCCATTACATTGTAGTGAAATGCTGTACTTGAATAGTAAATTCTGAATAGATGCCCTGCATTTCCTCTATTCTTCTATCTTCCCCCTGCATATCCTCTTTTGTTGTGCTTATGCTCATTTTATTACTTTCTTTGACTATGTGTGAATAAAAACAAACAAACAAACCATATTGTGCAGTGAGACTCCAGTGAGACAGAAACCACTTCCCAGCCCCATCCTTGAAGAAGAAGAAGAAGATGTTGACAAGGCAGAAGAAGACAGACTAGATCAGTTACCCATCACTGCTCCTAGACAAGCAGACAGGAAGCTGGAGAGACTGCTGGACATGACAGGACTGAGCGGTGTGAGTGACATCATAGCGGAGGTGTTTGCTGAAGGAGGGCTGAAGGAGGAAGACCTGGGGATCTCACTTACCGGAGATGACCTGACCAGGGACAGGTGAGACAAAGTTCCCGTGTTCCATTCAGGGTCAGAATTGGCCCAGATGCACACAAAAAAATGTTAAACAGCTATTAATCTTAGCAACATTACTGTAATTCATGATTTTTACGGTACTTTTATGTTCGCAGTTTTATCATTTGACAAAATTTTGCCGCACATGATGGAAAGAACTTTGCCCAATCCATCATCTTTGATGGACAAAACCATGTAAAGATATTTAACATGTCTTTGTCCCATTGCAGTAGGCTGCCTTCAGAACCGTTTGCCAGCACACAGCTGAGTGTGGACACCCTGCAAGATGTCTTCTCTCCAAGACAGCAGGACACCAGCAGAGAGGAGGATGAAAAGAAAGCTAAGAGAAGAAAGGTACCATCACCTAATGGCTTTCATGATCGCCAGTACGTCCTTTAGTTAAATCTGGATGGTGTAAAGTTGTAATTTAAAGGTTGGTAGTACAGTGGGCAAAACAAAAGGTAAGTTGAATAAGCCACCCTTGTCCTTGGTGCTGATTGGCTGTCATTTCAATCCAACTTTCTTTTCATTGTTGCTGATTGGCTGTCAATCCAATCCAACTTACTTGTCCTTGGTGCTGATTGGCTATCGTCTCAATCCAACATTCTTGTCCTTGGTGATGATTGGCTATCATTTCAATTTGACTTTACTGTCCTTGGTGCTGATTGGGGGGATGCAGCAAATAAAAGTCCACATCCACATATACCTACATGAATGCATGGATCAGTGCAGGTTGCAGGTAGACATCAGAAATACCTGCACAGCTCCAATTTTACCTACACCAGTATTTTGAGCCCTGGAATCCCAAGATGAATTTCCAGCGTACTTTGTTTTGTTCCTCAGGAAGTGCAGAAGTGGATGTTAGAGAAGCGGACAGAGAGGAGGAGTGAGTATCTGAAACAGCTGGAGGAGCTACGCAGCACGGAACACCAGCCGTACAAACCTGCACAGGACTCACCTAAACAGGTCAGTACAGAACACCAGCCATACAAACCTGCACACAGGACTCACCTAAACAGGTCAGTACAGAACACCAGCCATACAAACCTGCACACAGGACTCACCTAAACAGGTCAGTACAGAACACCAGCCGTACAAACCTGCACAGGACTCACCTAAACAGGTCAGTACAGAACGCCAGCCATACAAACCTGCACAGGACTCACCTAAACAGGTCAGTACAGAACACCAGCCGTACAAACCTGCACAGGACTCACCTAAACAGGTCAGTACAGAACACCAGCCGTACAAACCTGCACAGGACTCACCTAAACAGGTCAGTACAGAACACCAGCCGTACAAACCTGCACAGGACTCACCTAAACAGGTCAGTACAGAACACCAGGCATATTAACCTGCACAGGACTCACCTAAACAGGTCAGTACTGAACACCAGCCGTACAAACCTGCACAGGACTCACCTAAACAGGTCAGTACAGAACGCCAGCCGTACAAACCTGCACAGGACTCACCTAAACAGGTCAGTACAGAACACCAGCAGTACAAACCTGCACAGGACTCTCCTAAACAGGTCAGTACAGAACACCAGCTGTACAAACCTGCACAGGACTCACCTAAACAGGTCAGTACAGAACACCAGCCGTACAAACCTGCACAGGACTCACCTAAACAGGTCAGTACAGAACACCAGCCATACAAACCTGCACACAGGACTCACCTAAACAGGTCAGTACAGAACACCAGCCGTACAAACCTGCACAGGACTCACCTAAACAGGTCAGT